TAGCACACTAGGTACACTAGTAACACTAGTAACACGTAACACAGTAAACACTAGTAACACTAGAAACACTAGTAACACCAGTAACCCACCAGTAACACCAGTAACACTAGTAAAACACTAGTAACACTAGAACAACTAGAAACACCATAACACCAGTAACACCAGTAACACTAGCGTACCAGCTAGGTAATCACTAGTAACACAAGTAACACTAGTAACACTAGTAAACACTAGTAAAACTAGTAAGCACTAGTAACACTAGTAACACTAGTAACACTAGTACCACTAGTAACACTATAACACAGTAAAACACTAAGTAAACACTAGTACACTAGTAACACTAGTAACACAAGTAACACTAGTAACACTAGTAACACAAGTACACCAGTATCACATAGTAACTCTAGTAACACTAAGTAACACAGTAACACTAGTAACACATAGTAACACTAGTAACACCAGTAACACCAGTAACACTAGCGTACCAGCTAGTAACACTAGTAACACTATATCACTATAACACTAGTAACACTAGTAACACTAGTAACACTAGTTACACTAGTAACACTAGTAACACTAGTAACACTAGTAACGATCTAGTAACACTAGTAACACAAGTAAACCACTAGTAACACTAGTAACACTAGTAACACAAGTAACACTAGTAACACTAGAACCTAGTAACACTAGTAAAACTAGTAACACAGTAACACTAGTAACACAAGTAACACTAGTAACGCTAGTAACACTAGTAACACTAGGAACACTAGTACACTAGTAACACTATCGTACCAGCTGACTCCTAAAACACCTCTACAAGTATGGTAATTATTGTACAACACCTCCGAAACACTAATATAAGAGATTTGTCGTGCAGAAGAACGCACCGTAGGCTTTTCTCTATATTACATCGTGCGATAGTGACGTCACAACACGCGATAAGATTTTAAAAATAAATCATGTCCTATTTTAGGTGTCCTTACCCATGTAAGATACAGGCTTTTCTTATTTCTTCCCGTCAAAGTATGCTGTTCGATATAGCAATGGTACAGGTACGTTTTTGGATTTTATAAAGTTTTTCCTGACAAATTTTGTTTTAGCTTGTTTGAGATAAAAAATACCGTTCATAAAATATTCTAAAATTTATATTCCCGTTCTTTGCCGATGTAATCTTCACAAGTCATACTGAAAAAAATTTTGGAACGATCACACCGGAAAAGAGCAAAATATGTCCTTTAATTATCCCTCACACAAAATTCAAAAAATAAGCCCTGTGAAAACTATGATGATTCACAGAACAGAACCTACCAACAATCACCTGATCCTAATACTAGCCGCATTTTATTAGAGATATTTTTAGCGTATGTTATTAGAGATATTTTTAGCGTATGACTAATGACTATGACCTTAACATCTCAATTAGATTCCCCCGCATTTACATGGTTCTGTAATGGCCCAATATAAACAGTGTAATTAAATAACGTGACCTTGTTTATTTTATAAGTCCTGGAGCTGACTTGCTTTTAAAGTATTGGAACTGTCCAATACCTTAGAATATGTTAAGATGGAAACTGACTGCTTTTGAGAAGTATTTAACTGTGCCAATACTTGTAGAATAAGTTACTGGATCTGACTTGCCTTTTGAGAAGTATGAACTGTGCAATACCTGTAGAAAATGTTAGCTGGATCTGACTTGATTTTGAGAATATTGGAACTGTGCCAATACCTGTAGAATATGTATAGCTGATCTGACTTGCTTTTGAAAGTATTGGAACTGTGCCAATACCTGTAGAATATGTAAAGATGTAAGCGGACTAGCGGTCCTTTAATCAACTATAGGGTATCATAATAATATCCCTAGTTACTTCTCTAGTTACTTATAGGTATCACAATAATATACTTCCCTTCTCTAGTTACTTATTTATAGTACGACAAGAGTAGAGTACGACAAGAGTCGTAAACCACTATTGTTGACCACCTCAGCTACAATCTGCCCATGACCATCAAATAGGGTTTTTAGAATATGAACCTAAAAAGTGTAGCAGCCGCGTGGGTAATAATACTAAAACGAGTCTATTGTTTTAACAAGAATAAACTTTGACCTGTTCTATAGAGTTAATGGAAACTGACCCCAACCATCCTACCCCTGACCTACCCCCTCCTACCCACTCGGCACCCATTTTTACCATGAGTTGATGCCTAACAAAGATCATAGTAGGCATGCTTAATCATTGCCCTAGCGTTGGTCGAAACGGTTATTGCTACTTACCATTAAAGATTATTCCTATCAGTTTTGCTATAATGGGAAGACCCGGCTTAAAGTACGTGCGGTACAACCATTCTCAAAGTTACGTACCGATATCTTTTGTCTGAAGTACGATATGTTCTCGAATAATTGGAAAAATTGTACTTTTCATCTTTTAAATTTACTGTGTGGCGAAAACTTTTTGAACAGTTTGTAAACTCAGTGGCAAGTAAATATTAAAAGATCTGATATCTTCAGCATCCTAACTAATCATCTGAGATGAGAAATAATCATCAGTCTACTTTAAGAAAACGTTCTTAATTGCAACTATTTATCCGCATAAATATTACAGATACAGCAACGGACTGAACATCGTTTGTGGTCGTTTTTAAATTTTTGTGTCGTTTAAATTTTTAGACATATCAAAAGAATCGCACCTACAACAAAGAAGATTATAGGTTATTAGTTTTACAAAAGGACAAAGGAGAGAAGAAGTATTTTATAAATACGATTCGCTGCGGTTTCCTCCATCTCAAAGCAAGAGATTTTATTCAATTTCATCGGTCCTTTTGGTCGGAATCTGCACAAAGAAGGTCTAACAATTAACAACAAAATTGTTCAATTTGAATCTAATAGAGTAAATTAAGTAATATTGCTGTACGGTAGCCTTGAACCGTTTCACATATCATTTCTCTGGAAATCAGATCTCTTTCATTTCGCATCTACAGATTCCAGAAAATGTGTAAGTATTACAGTAGTATATAACTATACATAATCTTACACAATTTATAGTACTATTTCAGTATATTTATAATGATAATCATTATATTAAATTTATATACAAAGAATACCAAATACAAAAATAACATTCAGTTTTAATAACCAAAATAATATAAATCAACTTGTTATTTCTCACTGCTGTTATTTTGAATTACTATCTAATTGATGATCTTTTATATCCTATGAAATCCCAGTTTTTTTTTGTTAAAAATATACGCGCATGAAACCCCGTGTAGCCACGCCACTGAGCAGAAATATGTAGATAAGCCTAATGTGCCAGTGAAATATTGGGGGAAAAAATGATTGACCTAAATTTTGAATTCTTAAAGCTACTATATTTTGTTCATATTTTTTTATAGGTTGTAATGAACAAAGTTCTTTTCGTATCCATGAACGTATTCCAGCGAGCAAGTTTTAGTTTATCGAGAAAATATCGCACATCGTTTGTCCTTAAACGAATAATAAACTATCCTGCAACTTCGGAACGTTGAATGGAAGGTTTTTTTTATTTATAATCGTTCACCGTGGTTTGATATATAATCCCATGTTGACAATGCTATAATCGTTCGGTTCACTTCATTAGAAAATTTTTTTTTTTAATTTCTACTACATGGTTTGCCCGGGCCACCGTAACAGAAACACAGCCCACGGCAGTCTTTGACCTAATTTGCACACTGACCCATTTGAACTGCAGCCAAGAGATTCAACCAAAAATAGATGATCAGAAATAGAAGCCCGAATGCCCTAAATAAGATAATCGAAAAGTGGAAACTTACAGCTCTTTGATTACAAACTCGATTTCTGTCTTCTGAATAATCATCAGTTAAATTCGTCTAAAGAAGTATGAGTTAAAATTATTTACCTGAATTATCAGTTCATTCTGGGAATGGATCCAGATGAAAAAAGAAACTCATTAAGTTCATGATACGCCACTCACCGGACAATCCGCAATCGCTATCTTTTTCCTTTCACTTTCACTCTATCTTTCACTTTCTTTATATTGTATTCTGTAACCAGAATGTTTTCAGGATAAGTACGGAAGGACGACTCTAAGCTGCGGAGAAGGGTAAACATCTGATAGTAGACGTTTTGATAGAGAAGTGTGATGCTGACCCAACGATCGAAGATTGCAAAGGTAAGAGTACATCTTTCTGGTATTCTGTCAGGCGTGACGTGACCTAACATCACTTGGTGATGGACGTCCACGACTCACGTGTTTTTAATATAAACATTGTCTCGCCTTTATTCTAACTCTCTCTTCCACCAGGTAACACACCTTTGATGTACGCTGTGAGCGCAGGTTCCTTGGACATCATCTCAACTCTGGTCGGCTACTTCCTAGTCGTCAACTTCCCTATAGACAAGCGGAACTTGGTCGGAATGACACCATTGTTACTGGCCGCTAAAATGGCAGGTACGTCCTAGTAACCAGATCTCTCTGTTTTCGAAGGTTAAATGTTACCGTTAAGATCTACTTTAGATGGGAAGTGTTATCTGTTTGATCTCAGTTGGTGACTGTCTGAATTGCACCCTCTTTTCTCCTCCCTTTATTCCAGGGACGTTTGGGGCTCTGTAATCCTAATTTGTTAGTTAGAGGTAGCAATAAGATCAGTCCCATTATATGTCCATCAACAAAACCAATTTGCACCATCACTGTGGTACTACATCTGAAGCTAAACTGTGTATCAGGTTCCACTTCTGGTCGACCTCCAGCTGCATTGCTCAGTTACAACCGGCAACATTTATAGCGCCAGATGTTTATAAACTTTTATAAACTTCTCAATTTTCATGCAATGATCAATGATCATGGAATACGCAATGTTTTCAATCATGTAAAAAGGGCGTCAAAAATGTTAATTCGCATTGTTAAGACTATCAATATTCAATATTCATATTGACATAATATGTTAACATGAATCTGCGATCGTAAAAGTAATATTGTGTTAATACCTGTATTATAATTCTGTTGATAACCGGCTAATGTTACCAATAATTACAGATACGAGTGTGCTAAAATACTGGTAGAGGTTGGTAATGCCAACTTGCATTTGCGGGATGTCGACACCTTCCGAAGTGCCATCGACTGGATCAAAATTACGGTTAGTTTGAGTTTTAGATAAGAGAACGATTAATACATTTTGTGACGCAGCTCCTTTTGTTATGACGTAACAGCACGTGACGTAACAGCACGTGATGACCATATAAGGTTATAATATCTTACTTTCAGTGTCCTGCCAACTGGAAAGTTATTGCTCTTGATCCGATAGTAGTCAGAAAAAGGGACTGTGCTCTGAAAAGACTCAGAACTGAAAAGACGAAGTACAGGGTTTTATCAGAGTTTTTCACGGACGGCAAGATGCCCTCCTGTTGGAGGAACAGTTCAAAGGGAACTCAGGTAAATGATCATACCTCGTGGTGTGACGTCATGTCACGTGGTGTGACGTCATGTCACGTGGTTTAAAGATACATTTCATGGTGTGCTTTAATTTATGAATCTCGTTTCAAACTCGTTTTCAATTATCGACGACTGATGCGATTATCATCAAATTATCATTTCAACAATCAATACACCGTCTCCGGCCTTAGTACAGTCAAATCCGTCCTTATTTGAGCCTTTGTCGGACAAAATTCGCAACAAAGCGATTTTAACGGGATATGGTCGGGACAGGTCCCAGGAATCATTCCAGAAAATTCCCAAAAAATCTGACTTGAGCAAAATCCACAATTACCACTTTTTTACCACCTTTTTACCACTTTGGTTTTCCGCAAATAAGTCACGTTCTGAATATCCTAGAAGATTCTAGTTTAAAGCAGTGTGTTTAGAAAACAAAGGATAATAACTTTTTCTTTAACAACTTTTTCTAAAATAAATTATTTAATTAATTAATTAAATAATTAATAAATTTTCAAATATTTAAAAAATATATTTTCATAAAAATGTTCACAATTACATTCCACGTATATTGAACTAATTTTTATAAAAAATTTGAAAATTTTCACTTTCAATATTTTGGACTTGTAAAATTTTCGAAATTTGTAAAGAATAACCACTATTTACCACTTTTTACCACATTGGATCTCCGCTAATAAAACGACTTCTGAATGTCGTAGAAGGTTCTAGATTGAACCGATGTGTTCAAAATATAAAAGAGAGCAAATTTTTATGCGCCAACCTTTGGATTAGATAATTAATCAATTAATTAATTAGATAATAAGTAAATTTTTAAAAATTTCAAAAATATAATTTTTACCAAAAATCTTTGCCGTGACGTAAAACGTAAAATGAATTTACTTGAATAATAGAACAAACACCGTCACATAGATTAAATAACAGATAAAAAGAGATGCAGATAAATGGAATAAACGGTAAAATATCCAAATTTGTACGATACTATTGTATTACAGATAATAACTATTTACACATCATCTCTCGACTTAGTGTTGTGCTTTTAAACTAGATTGTTAAACTGGTTCGTTTGGAAGCGTAAGCTTCAATTTTTAATTTATGTTGACTTCTCTTCGTCAAAAAGTTGAATCTGCTAAAAATCGAGGACTGGAATCACTCGGAATAGTCGATATTTTGACTACAGAAGAACGCATCGTGTGCCTGATACTGTACGCGTGCAGATTCTATGTAAGTAGCTGTCAACTGATATACAATAGTAGTAATATGTTTTTACCGTTTTACTTTTAAGTTTGATGTCAGCGGAGAGCGCGACTAGAGGCATTCTTAACCAATACAATGTTTTAATTTACCAGGCAAATGAGGAGTTAATTCCGGTGAATAGCTTTAAGAGTGCGAATGATCGACAAAGTACATTTGTATGGAATGAAATATGGAAAGGGTTGCTGTCCCCAGGTACTATTTTAACTAATTATCTTTTAGTAAGTGCACTAACTTTTAAACTATGCCCAGCAAATTTGAAACGGATAGTTACAGTTCTGAAGCCTTTCATACTCTGTATAAATAATCAAACCGTCGCACCACAGATTGGATAAACAACCCCTGGTCACTGAACGAAATTAAACGGCAGTACAACGGCCTGACCGATTCCGCTCAGAGTGACGTCTATTGTGTGTTATTGCAAACAGTGACCATAGACCAGTTCCAAAGATTCTTATCGGCCAATGAAGATGAGTCCGTTGTAACTGAGGCAGAACAATCTTTAGTTCACGAACACAGTTTAAACAAATGTCCATTCTGTAACCTAGAGATCGCACCAAATGATAAATCCTCAAGTCGGGTTACAGGCAGGATAAGTTATTGTGTCGGGGAGGGGGGAGGGGGGAGGTGGTATAGTACACATACGTTAGGCATTTTTACCCTACGTCTTGGGGCGATTCGGAGTCAGCGTCCAAAAATACACTGATTTAGATTAATTTCATACCCAAAGGGCCTTTAGTAGGAGTGCATACGTTAGGGTATTGTTTCTCCGTAGCTTAGTGCACTCGATTCCCACTATAGGGATCGTACACAAAGCCCAATTACGGTATCGTAGCACCCTGTCGCATGATTAGCGATTAGGTAATCATTGATTACCCAATCAATTTCGCTAACGAGATAAACAAATTGCTTGATGACTTCGTCATTTTCAGTCTGTTTCGCGCCATCTTTTCAGAATTCAGATCATATTCCGAATGTAATGGCCTATTGCAATGTGCAGTTAACAGCATGTTCGCAAACACGATTATGTTGATTACAAGACTCAACGAATGTGTATTGACTCACGGCACCCCCACTCCCCCTAAACTTGGAGGATATTTTGATTTCTAAATGATATTTAACGACCACGTTGCTGCTATAATACCGATTTGAAACATTACTATCCAGGGGATTGCAGCAGTATTGTTGCACTTACCAAGTGACACAGATTTCAAAGTTGGTGACTATCTACACGCGAACTGCAGAAAAAATATGACACGTCGACCACCAACTAAACCTGCATTGGAGCGTGCTGTAGTAACGAGAGCTCAAGTCGATACATTTGATTATAAAAATTGTTGCGTATTTTGTGTGCGACGGATAGTTTTGGACACTAAGAATCCTAATAGAGATACTTGCTGTTTGATAGAAACACTCGACTGTGTAGCTAAAATCCATTGTGTTATTGAGCATCGCAATGACGATTGGAGTGCAGAGGTATAGTCCGATTTTAAATGGCTTCATAAGATACATACTTCTATATTATAATACTACAAAATATCGCGATGGATTGAAACTTAATTTTTAATGAAAAATTGTTAATTATTCGTGTTATGCAATTTTAAAATATTTTGATCGAAAATAATTTTTATAATTTTTGAATATTTGTTAAATAATTGATTAACTGATTAATTAATCATCTAATCCAAAGGTTGGCGAATAAAATTTGTTATCTCTTATGTTATTAACACATCGGTTCAATCTACAACCTTTTATGACATTCAGAAGTCGTTTTATTAGCGGAGATCCAATGTGGTAAAAAGTGGTAAATAGTGGTTATTCTTTACAAATTTCGAAAATTTTACAAGTCCAAAATATTGAAAGTGAAAATTTTCAAATTTTTCATAAAAATTAGTTCAATATACGTGGAATGTAATTGTGAACATTTTTATGAAAATATATTTTTTAAATATTTGAAAATTTATTAATTATTTAATTAATTAATTAAATAATTTATTTTTGAAAAAGTTGTTAAAGAAAAAGTTGTTCTCCTTTGTTTTCTAAACACACTGCTTTAAACTAGAATCTTCTAGGATATTCAGAACGTGACTTATATGCGGAAAACCAAAGTGGTAAAAAGGTGGTAAACAAGTGGTAATTGTGGATTTTGCTCAAGTCAGATTTTTTGGGAATTTTCTGGAATGATTCCTGGGACCTGTCCCGACCATATCCCGTTAAAATCGCTTTGTTGCGAATTTTGTCCGACAAAAAGACGGATTTGACTGTACTACCTCTATTATTGGCACATGTTATCTCAAAATTTCCGTCAAAGCTCCTCAAGTATCCACGTCTGCTCGCTAAAGTGGTGAGCAGCTTGTCGCAAGTTGTTTGGCCGTTTGTCAACTTGGTTTTCCAATGTTAACCACTAGTCAACCACGAGACAGAAAATAAATCTTCTCCTGGCACAGCTCTCGCTTTAATCGGACCGGTTTTAATTTAGACTTGATTAGATTCAGTTAGCGCGGTCGCCGGTCAACTGAAAACCTGGATCATTTAGCGAATAACCACAAGGCACATAAAACGTGACTGGAGATTTAACCGCTGGGACATTTAACAATGTTAACGTGACAGTGAGAGAATAGCACGACTTCTTTCGGATTATTTTACACGGCAATTGACATGCACTACTATCCATTGTTTTAATTGAGATTTTATAAGCTTTTATACAAGATATTGTTTAAACATATGTCTAGATTTATATCCGTGTCAAAATCTAAATAGTTTTCATTGAAGTCGGATTGAAAGTTTAATCGACCATTTCTGTGTACATTGCACGGTGGTCTGGTTAAAATCTTCAATTGTGTATTGAACTGAACTCAAGTTTTAAATTCTGTATTAAAATGCATCATATCTTTTCATTAATACTTTGAGTTACGGCTCATAATTTGATAACTGTTTTTTGGCCCAAGAACGACATTTCACTTTGTATAAAGTAGACAAAGCATTGAGGTGTAGTTAAAATGTTTTCAAAGTCAACTGGTAAAAATCAATAGATTCTGCCAATTAGAATTTACAAATTTACACATACATTGTACCTCTAAAACACTTTGAAAACACGGGACTCAATGAATACAATAGTAAATGGGAACTTTGGACAACAAACATTATACTCATCCTACCAACCACCCAACCATTACAACTTAGTCATCGAATATTGTTCACTGCAGCCCTCACTGTTACAGCCGTTAACTGATAAATTACGCGTTAATGTTTATTTATTCATGATAATACGTTTTTAAAATACTTGCATTTTCAGGAGCCGAGGAAGCACCAGATAAACCGTACAATCTGCATCGTATCGGACCAAGACAAGGAACTAGAACCAGAACTCACCGAACTGGACGAGACAATCGACAGCATCCTGTTGAACATGTCCGAGCCTACCCCCTTCCTGCCACTTGTATCAGAATCTGTACCTCGGTCCATGTTTGATATTCCTAACGTGAACGAGGGTCGAGGTTGTTTCGTTAACGAGAACGCGGGCAAGTTTGTTGAGCGATGTGACAGCTCAATGTCCGTCGTGTCTGCTCCCTCTCCCACTTTCCCACGATTAGAGGACCCTTATTCTGAGGACGTAGCGTTCGTGCCCTCTCCAGCAACTCTGCAGAAGCCTGCGAGTGTGAGACGAATGGAGAGGCGGCGGTCCATCGACAATTCACTCCTCTCGCGCACTCAGGTGAACTCTCCAGTCATAACTAGCACCAGGCGTGTATCAAGACCAAACTTACCTGCTGCCAAGGTTCCTGACTCGGTGGCACCTCGAATTAAAGGGAAATCGTCCGGTGAGGTGGTGCGGAACGCTGGTGACGTCACGACACGTGGTGTGACGTCAGCACGCAACTTGTCGTCCCGTGAAGGCATGCGGAGCTCTAAGTTGACGACCAGTTCCATTGCTGCTCCTAAAATTACTCGCTCAGGTAGGGAGTGCAAAGACAGGAAAAATTCGCTTCCCAACATCAACAAAAACAATCATATTGTCCGTGATTATTCTTATGTTCATACTTAGCTTTTTTTTCAATTAAAAGACGTTTATTAACAAAGCAGATTTTCGAATATTTATTTGAATGAAAGGAGCAACAAGATGATGAATTACTTTTTGCATGACCATCGAGCCCACCAAAAGTTGTCAGTTACCTGGTTACAGTTACCTGGTTACAGTTACCTGGTTACAGTTGCCTGGTTACAGTTACCTGGTTACAGTTACCTGGTTACAGTTACCTGGTTACAGTTGCCTGGTTACAGTTACCTGGTTACAGTTACCTGGTTACAGTTACCTGGTTACAGTTACCTGGTTACAGTTACCTGGTTACAGTTACCTGGTTACAGTTGCCTGGTTACAGTTACCTGGTTACAGTTACCTGGTTACAGTTACCTGGTTACAGTTACCTGGTTACAGTTGCCTGGTTACAGTTACCTGGTTACAGTTACCTGGTTACAGTTACCTGGTTACAGTTGCCTGGTTACAGTTACCTGGTTACAGTTACCTGGTTACAGTTGCCTGGTTACAGTTACCTGGTAACAGTTACCTGGTTACAGTTGCCTGGTTACAGTTACCTGGTTACAGTTACCTGGTTACAGTTGCCTGGTTACAGTTACCTGGTTACAGTTACCTGGTTACAGTTGCCTGGTTACAGTTACCTGGTTACAGTTACCTGGTTACAGTTACCTGGTTACAGTTACCTGGTTACAGTTACCTGGTTACAGTTACCTGGTTACAGTTACCTGGTTACAGTTACCTGGTTACAGTTACCTGGTTACAGTTACCTGGTTACAGTTACCTGGTTACAGTTACCTGGTTACAGTTACCTGGTTACAGTTGCCTGGTTACAGTTACCTGGTTACAGTTACCTGGTTACAGTTGCCTTTCTAATTGCTCTGTAAAGTACAAGAACCGGCTCTTTTGTTTATTTTATGTACTATAATGCAGATTTAATGCACTGTACAGTTGGAAGCATTTATCGAAGCATCTGAACCGAACAACGGAACTCAAAGTGTATTTGTACATTTATGATTGAGATTAATTGTTAACTGTTAAATGTCTATTGTGCCCATAACAGATAGAAGGACGTCCAAAAAACATTTAGACTTTTAGGCAATCTTAACTGCGCTTTAGGAAAACCCGCTCCTTTATAATCTATCCTATATATTTGTGGACGTGTCCGCTAGGCCTGAGCTCCCTTTCTTTTGGACGTCCTTTAATTTTGGCGCCTGATTTGTTGATCATTGATTGACATTCGTTGTTAAATATACAATATCGCCTTAGTAACGAGATTAATTTACCCTGGTGCCCGGGTTCAGGGGAGAGTAGTCTCTAATAGTCCTAATATCTGTACCATGAAGCACCTTGTACCGTAATGTACCATAGTTGTGTGTACATTTGTGTGCCACATTCTAACACGTGAAGAACTCAGGCGATATCGATGTAAACTCGTGAGGAGCGTCTGGTCAGCCGAATATTGACATTTTGCCAAATTCAGGGCGAGAATCTGTTGGATATTTCGCTGTTAACTTTCTTAAGAAAAGATATAAATCTTTTCGGCCGTATTTTAGTGAAAGTATATTTTACTACAAATAGTTTTTTAAAGCTTTTTATCGCACTTTGGCCAGGTGCTGAATAGTTGAGTTTTCATCTATAACAAGGAATCTTAGAGTGATGATGTTGGTTTATTGTTGGTTCACAGGGTTTCAGACTTATTGATCAAAGTGAAATGTTGTATGTAAACTTATTAATCGTGATTTATTTTATGTTACCAATCACCTAGTTCAGAGTTAAATAATTAACCGTATTTGTCAGAGTTTAGTGCTATAGAAATTGATATTTATTTTCTTATTACATTAGTTTTTTCTTTTTCATTTTTAATATGTAGGTTTTGGATTCTGAATAATTCACATAATAGTACATCTTCTAAAGAATTCTCAGAAAACATGCCGGGTTAAATTAAGCTAAATTCATGAAATTGTCAGGACAACGCTATATTTAGATCCAATTCGACCAGATTAAAGGTTTACTCATCAAATCTAGATTGCAAAGGGACTAAATTATTTAAGAATAATGCTGATAAAACAGTAGCATTGACTAGAAACCAACATGATGGTACTGATAGACAATACAGCCAGACTCCCCCACTCCGGAATCACATTTCTGCAGACTTTTCCAGCTCGTGTCAAATTAATTCCGCAGATTGATCTGTCTTTGCTCCTCTAATTTGTATTATACGAGCAAAGGTAAAGGGACGAGTAATTTGAACGCGAATTTTACCAGATAATACCAATGCGTGGGCTGATCCCACTATTTCTATAACATTTGTATAAAGCCTTGTCTTCCAATCTGTAACTGAATAATGAAATGAAACATTTTGGTGGTGGGAGACTGCTCATAAGCACTGTGCAACATTTCATTACAACCAGGGAAAACAACTGAAAATTAGTATCGTATTAAGTCACCAACACTCGTGTCTCGAGCGCCATAACATTTTAAAATTAGCACCAAATGGATCTCTTTTCAACATGCACCTGTTGCATTCGATGCCAACTGCGTTATATCATGTAAAATCTAGAATTCATGGATCGTTGTGCATGCATGTAGCCACTGGCGATTAGAAACTTTGATACTGGTCGACCGTTGATATATATTTGAACCGTGGCAACCGACTTGAAGGAAACCGCGAGATTATTTTACTGTCACAAAACGGATATCAACAGCTAGATTTCAATGCGCATGCGCGCTATATATACACTACGCGACGTACATACATGCAGGTCAATAATAAAGGGTCGTTCACTTACTGGGCGGACCACTTACCTGAGGTCCCAAGGTAAACTCAACCATTGCTGGGCCGTCGTTTTGATAGAAATTTCATTAAACATTTAGAATATGCGCGGCGCTGTTAAAAATTAACTTATTTTTGATCAATTTGCTAAATTAAAAATAATTAGTTATTAAGATCAGATAAGTCTTTTATAAAAAAATAACTTTTTTATTTTATGGTTATTGTGTACCCAGCAAACCCTATCAGCTGGTGTATATCTCCAAAAGTAAAATAAATAGAACCTTCCGGTTTTCAACAAAATTTCCGTCTCGTAAATTAAAAGTTAGCTCCCCAGGAGCCAAATTTGGGTCAACTTACATTCTGAATTAAACCGAAAAGTTTGATTTTGGGCTAATTAAAAGATCGTAGCTTTTGAACTTTGAAAAGTAATGTCGTTGTCATGACTATTAGGCTAAATGCAGCGTGCGAAAGCTGGTTCACCTAACCATATGTTTTCGCGCCACTGCGGGCGCGCTTGTTTCACAAGTTTTACCGCCGTGTTGATTGACGATTTCAATCCGTCGAGATCATTGCTCTGCGAAGCAGAGCAACGATCGACGACGCGAAGCAAAAATGCTAGTTCGCGCGGCGCGTCGAAGCGGCGAAGTCCTCCAAACCGCCGTGAGGCAGGCGCGCGCTACTGCAAGCGCGAGGACAAACGTGCTCTTGAAAATCGATCACCTCTAGCGAGCCCGGCAGGTGGTAAAGTTTTTTGGGTAATATTGGTTTGTCATTCTAATGATAAGCTGCTGCATTTGCCAATTCAATTCGCATAATTTGGAAAGTAAGCTTTTTGTTAAAATACAAACGACACTATATCATATATGCTACATGTAATTCATGAAATTATGTCAGTAACATTATTGAATAATTCATGTACAATGTCGTATGAAAATGGATTGATTGACGATGTCAAGCAACGATCGACGACGGATGCTAGTTCGCGCGGCGCGTCGAAGCGGCGAAGTCCTCCAAGAAAATGGATTAGGTCAAATTAATTTAGCTATTTGTTAGTTTTTTTACCCACATTGCACATGTGAGAAGCTCGAAAAGCAAAAAGTGCGCCGCGCATAAGGATAGGGGCGCATGTACCATGCATGGTAAAACTTTTATATCACAAACTCAAAACTGCCTCTTATACACTGTACTACACAACATGAACAACTGTCAAACAGTTTACAGATTCACTTTTACATATTACCTGGCACACCAATTGCTAATTCCGATGTGCAGCGATCTTTTCAAGATTCTTGCATATGTTTATATTCGTATTCATATAAAAAGCGATTTATTTATTATATTCGTAATTGTGTATGTTTGTATTTTACTTTAAGAAATACAATTACAAATTATAATACAAATAACAATGTAAAAGTTTCTGAAAACTTTCGTTATAATAAATAACTGCAACAACTGGTATAGTTGAAAGTGTGCGGAAATGATCTGGGACTTAAACATTAATGATTAAAATGAAAGTAAAATGTGAAGACCTCAAGCTTAGCCGTTTTATTATAAGTTATTTGGCAGAGAAAAAGCCTGGCCCAATCTTATGAAGAATTCCCGTACTGCATAGTGCATTTTATTAGTTTATTTTATGTTCAAGTTTAAGCGTATAAAATATATAAGTATACAGTTGTCCTTGGAACTAATTGAAAAAGTATATGAAGTCCACCATCAGCATTTCCTGATTCAAAAACATAGCTCTTCGAGGGTACAGAGGGAAAAAAATGGACAGCAAATATGAGACACCACTATCAGAAGTCTCTTATAACCTCATCCCTGCCCCTATGATGGAGTAGATGTGTATATATCTGATTGTTGATATTTAATATTATATAATATTGGTAGCAGTGGACAATTTCCGTTACCTCTGTATTGTGCTCTGCCAATTGCAACACTTGAATTACTTTATTGTATATATACTGGTTAAAAACAGTTTAAATTCAGAAGAAATCATCCTTTAATGAATATCTAAAAATTAGTCTGTGTTACT